TTTTTAGATCAGTAAGCACGTGGTCAATTATTTTAATAGATTTTAAAGTCTTTAATAATTTAATTTATTAAATAGATAGTAATAGCTTCCAGCAGTCAGGCCAGATTTAAGAATTAAGATAATAATAAATAGAAACTATATAAAAAATTTCTTTGTAGTAAAAATATTTTCCATGTTTAGAGGGCTTAAGTGCGCGATTATATATATATTTAGTATGATTTATACCTAGAAGTAGTTTATTTTATACAGATATTAATATTTTAGCTATTTTTCTCTTCAGAGAAGCCTGCTTTGGTGGAGGCTTCAAGACTGGAAGCTCTTTTTTAGATATTGAAGCTTTTGGCAGAAACTCTGGCTCTAGCTCTGGCTCTGGCTCTGGTTCTAGCTCTGGCTCTGGCTCTGACTCTACTTTTAATTAATCTTGGAACATTTATAATCTTTATATAGAAGTAAATGAACAAGATCTTAGATCTTCTCTATAGAGTTGATCTTGCTCTATTTATATTATAATAATATAATAAGTTCTCTTCAAGAATTTAAGATATTTATTCTATTCTTTAGTAGTTGTATTAAGATAAAGAAAAATCTTAGGCTGTAGAAATAATAAAATATGTTGAAGATCTTCAGAGCTAATAGTAGATGTTATTTTAGATTAAGAAAAAAAAAGATATATATAGTTTTATAGTAAAAAGCCGGGCTTATAACCTGTTGAAACAAAAGAAATAAAGATATATAAATTAGATTTATCTGATCTTAAGAGAGTGGTTGGTTGTATTGGAAGAGGTAGTAGTCAGAGACTATACAGAAAGAAAGACAAAGAATCAGCTAACAGCTGCCTGACTGCAGTGAATGTCTTAACAGAAAGCATGTGTTTGTTGCTACAATTGGAGACAGTAGATATAATAATTCTACAATATGTCTGAATGACATCCAATAGTCGTTACAACCAGTAAAACATATCGGCCAAATAAACGCCAAAAAAATAACAATACGATAGGATTGACAGTTATATTCTTTATTCACCAGGCAATAAGTCACTGAAGGTCTGTGATTAGGTGTGCAGAACAATTACGCTCCAAAGGGCCACATTGCTTGCAACACAAGCCTTAGTTATATCCCTGAATAGAGAAATATTCCATGTAACATGCAAAAGACGGTTAAGCTGATATGTATGTTGCCCACTTGCTACGTCCATTTTATGATATCGACAAAAATATTGGCATATCCACGCCATGTTTGCTCACTTGGATGGAGATCATCATACCACATGAAACGCATCTCGGTCGTCGTAGTCGTAGAGAAAACAATCAGTCCCACTAAGCGAACAGTGATTAATATACCCAGTCACATTGTAAGGACTTATCCGCAATACCCGTCGTGATCCAGACAACCCCACAACCCAGGTGTACGCAGGTCACCTGGCCCACGCTAATCTCTCGCCTGACCAGGCTAACCATTTCCGGACTAGGATTACCTGATCAGGCCCAGGCCCTATCCTGAAATACAAAACATAGATCTGTATTATTTTATTATCTTATTTTTATAAAAACTTTCTTGATTATATAAAACTAGTTCTATACTACTTTATAATTATTACTTAATAGTTTTGTTAGGGAGGTGGTGTTATAGCAAGCGGTGTTCGGATACACATGACTGGATCACATGACATAGTCTGTTTTGTCTATTTCATTTTATTTACATATCTTTATACAACTAAGACAGATATATAATAAAAAGCAGGTATAGAGAATAATAACACTAGAAATCTAAACAGTGAATATAAAGTAGTAAGTAATCAATATGAATTAATAAGATGGTAAGTAACAGACATAGATTAGTAAAGTAAAAGTAATAGGGAAAGATAGTAGAATATATCTATAAGTAGTAGGAGTTTATCAACAATCAGAAAAGGCGAAAGTATGTAAAATGAGGTGCGAAATGGCCTTTTGCGAGCTTTTGACAGATATATATATGATATAGGACTGGCTCCCTACCGGTCCTCAGGGAATCTGCGGGTCATGATGGCCTTTTGGTCTTGCATTAACTTTTCCTCTAGAAGGGTTCCTTACCATATTAACTATCAAGTTTACTATCTTAACATAAATAATTAAAGAAAGAAAAAAGCTGATTCACATTTTCAATTTATAACTATCTAATTAATATCCGGTACTTATATTATTAGCTAAAACCCCTACCTAATATCCGGCTGACTACCCACTGACGAGAGGGCATGTAGCCAAGCCCCCTGGAATTGCATGTCCAGTAGGACAAACTACGAAGGTTATTCCGACCAAGGAAGCTTTATCTCACGGGCAATATCTGTACAGGGTGTAGGGAGACGGTAAGAACATATTGATTCAAGAACTGCTACAGTTATACAACTAATAATAAACCCAGCAGTCAAGTAACACACGCCTTAGGCACAAGCGTCTAAGGCCATCCAGTAGCTTCCACCAATTCCATCGCTTACGTGACAATCCATCAGAGCACATAGCGGAAGGCTGGCTGCTCGAAATCCGTCAAATCGAGGAACTCGGTCCCAACAGCAACGTTCTCGAGGTCGGGATCAGAAATTGCCTGTCGGTCGCGTTTCTTATTTTCCATAATGTTCACCAGACGAATTACCAATAAGGTAGCCGCTGCCAGAGCGTACATGATGGCAACGAGCAATTTGCCGTCGAAGTACTCCGGCGCTTGATTCGAGCGGAACGTCTGCGGTCCGATCCAGTTTCCAGCAGCATAGGCCAATATCTGAAGACCATTCACAGTTGCCTTCTTGGTGTAACCCAACGTATTGTTAGATATCATCACCATGACCAAACACCACGAGGTCCCGGCAGCACCGATACAATAGTAACCCACCAACAAGCCGGCTTTTGCGTGAAGGGGAAGGACAATCATCAAGATGCCACCAACCATAGGTATAAGGATAGCGATGATGGCAAAGAGGGTTCGGTCAAGTAATCTGTCCGACAAGTACGTCAATCCCAGCTTGCAGGAGATATCAACAAGACCCATTGGCATGTTCAGCATGAGGGACATCCGGCTAGAGAAGCCGAAAGAGCTGATAATGAGAGAACCGAAGGTAGTGATTCCTCCATTTGGAATATTCATCAAGAATGAGAATAGAACGTAGAGGTATGTGCGCGGATCCCGGAATGCTTCGAAGAAATGTGCCCATTTCCAAGTACGGTTCCCAATGCCCTGAAAGTTGCCTCTGATGCGATCAACAGCAATATGCTTCTCGCGATGGCTCAGGAATTTGGCCTGGATCTGATTGTCAGGCATGAACCAAAAATAAAGAAAACCGGTGAGAACGGTAGGCAAGCCAAGCACCAGGAAGAGTATCTTCCACACAGGAATAGATGCCTCTTGCACACCTGACAGTCCATACGCGATTGCCGCAATCAGTATCTGAGCGACGCCGTTGCAAGCAAGCCAGAAGCCCATACGCTTGGCCTGCTCCTCTTGTTTATACCAACAGGAGGTAAACAGGACGAAGGCCGGAGTTATTGTCGCTTCGAACGCGCCGAGGAAAAAGCGGACACAGAGCAGTCCAGCGTAACTATCAGTTGCGACATGGCAGAGGAGCACGACGCCCCAAATCAGAATATTGGCTGAAGTATATTCCCCTAGTGGAAGTCGACGTAGCAGATAGGTGGTGGGAAATCTATACCGAAATTAGCACGGACCTAGAGAAGGGAGGTAGAGAGATTGTAATGGTACGTACTCCCAGAATATATATCCAGCGTAGAAAATGCTCGAGACCCAGCTGTATTGCTGTGACTTAGGGTCCAAGTGTGTGTCCTCGCGGATTCCCATTAGGGAGGCATAATTCAAAGACGTTTTGTCGGCAAATTGGATCAAATAAACCCAACACAGCAAAGGCATCAGGACTCGGTCGATCTTGAACAACACTTTGCGGGACTCTTCAGGAGTATATTCGATCTCGCCATCAGCCATAAACTGCAGGGCTGGATCAAATTCTCGCGTCTCTCCATGCTTGATCTCGCCACGCTGGACTTCAGTATCCGCTTGCTCCATATCATGGTTGGGTGGAACTTTGAAAACGTCTTTCTCGTTGGGTTGGGTAGTCATATTGCTATGTCACAATCACCTGATCCATCATATTCGAAAATTATCGATTCGCGGAGTCATCGACGCTCCTTAAATGGGCCCTTGCACGGACCTGATAAGGATGGGGCAAATGGCCCCGGATTTTCCAAATACCAAAGTTTGTTCCGGAGATATGTACAGCGGTTAATACCGGTGACCGGGAAAAAACAGTATTTTAGATAAGCTACGCGATCTAATCAGATTTTATACTAATTCTGCCGGCAGTCAAACACCAAGAAATCATTATTGCCCGATGGCCGCTATTAACCGCCGTAGATATGCAATTTGCGGGGTTGGTGGAGCTCCACCGCCTGTAGGTTTCGTATCTCTTCCGGGCTTCTCCTGGAATCTTTTCATCGATAAGTCACAAGAGGCCGAAATACGAAGACAGATTTGCGTAGGTTCCAGTATATGAGACCCCAGCCCAAGCCATGAAAGACTGCAATCGGCCGGAGGATTGTACCAAGGACGAACCGACCACCTGTTTCAGAATTTCCTACCCCTCAGCCATCAGTCCGTTTCGCGCTCGACTCCCGGTATAGTTTATTGTATCCTGTTTTTGTCTCACCCTAAACACAAAACACCTCATTTTATCATTTCTCTGGTGAACATAGCAGTATATAACCAATTGTGATGAAGGATTTTACGTGACAAAACAGATACGGAGCTGGCTTTCAGGTATGTATAGTGCCCCTTTCCATTTTGCCCTCTTGTTATAAAGTCAATCTATTCAGAAATCGGAAGTTCATTTGGCTATTTGGATCCATACTTCCATTATCGAATCTCCCACGCTGTGCGCTGCTTTCTGGTTTATGCCTCTAAGTCAGGTATAATGTATATCCCAAATTTCGAACCCAGAGATCTGGAATGGGGGGCGGTCAGTTGCTTTCGTAGAACAATATAATTCTATTGCAAGAATATAAAACCATAATTCAAACCAGTATTGACAACAAATAACGGTCGGTGAAGAAGCATGCGACTTTGCCAACTACTCTTCTCGCCGACATACGATTTGATGGATACATTCGGCCACATAGCGCACATTGCCTTCGTTGAGCCCGGCTAAAGAGACTCTGGAGCTTTCAGCCATGTAAACGTGATGAATATCTGAATTTTAATGGTGAATAATCTTGATTCTCTCACGCAATCTAGAAGCCCATGAGGTTTTCCCTACTTTTCAGGTAATGAACTTGATCGGGTGTGAGACCAAGCACGCAAAACATGCCTTTCTGCTGTGTTATTTCTCCCATTCGCCCGGAGTACCTGGTAGAAACTTAGTTCTTGGGCTGATAGTGTGTTGAAAAGAGTGAGAATTTGTGATACCTAATGCCGTCAGTTCATCCAATAACCGCTTCCTCATCCCAGCAATGCGCGAGCTCCTCGTCATAAGATCACGCTGCCACTGAGAGAAGAGGCCACCATCTCCGAGAACCGTAGCGACGATACGAGCACCAAATGCTGGGGGATTAGATATCTTGCTGCGGATCAACTGGGCCAAATTTGACTCGACGTTCATGGCGATGCTGTGATTGCGTGATACGAAAGCACATAGTCCGGCCCTCTCGCCTATGAGAATAAGCGAATGTGTGAGTAAGAGTAGATACTGGAAGGAAAAGAACAGATTGGCCTGCGACTCAACTGACCCTACTGGGACAATACTCAAAGCGAACACATACCATAAAATCCCATGCTTTTGGCGAAGGAAATGCAGACACCCATCTCAAGATTGAGCTCCTCCGCAAAGTACCGGATTGCGTAGGCGTCTTCATCGTAGGACCCAGAAGTCAATCCCAAGTACGCAGCGTCAAAAATAGGGAATAGCCTTCACTCCTTCATGATAGCGCCAATCTTTCTCCATTGTTCTGGAGTAGGATCCCAGCCACTTGGATTGTGTGCACTAGCATGAAGAACAAAAATCGACATCGGATCTGCTTCGGTCATCGCTCGAAGTAGTGATTGCATGTCAATACCACTACTTGAGGCATAGTTGAATTCTCGGACTGAGAAGCCTACTGATTCGAAAACCTGCCTGTGGTTGGACCAGCTCGGATTAGTGATGTATACAATTTGATCACAAATAGATGTCCGCATGAGCATCATTCCTGCCACATGCAGTGCACCAGTACCCGATAATGCTTGACAGGAGGCGACCTGTCAGGAAGAGATTGACAAATTAGTCTCTTGTGGCAATGATAAGGCTCTAAATTGTTTACCCGACTCTCCCGTATAGCGGTAGAATCCTTCTTGAAGACCAAATCCGTAACTAATTTTCGAAATTCTGGATGACCCAGGATTGGAAGGTATTCGTGTTCGCAATCTTTAATAGCTTTCTTGGCTGCTTTAACTGCTGGGAGTATCCAAGGATTTCCATAATCATCTTTGTATGTACCTTGGCCCAAGTTCACTTTGCGAGTGTCTGGATCAGCTTTGTAAGCTTTGGTGAGTTCGAATATCGCATCTGGGGGCGTATAGGCCACGTCCCCAAAGAATGTAGAAACTGACAACATTGCGTGGAAGGACAAGTGAGAGTAGACTTGACGAGACACAAACAAACAACTCGGAATTGATGGGGCAATCCTTGATGCCTAAATGGGCCTCCTGTCTTGATGGCGAATGTGCAGTGGACAAACCTATGGTGGAGCTCCACTCGCCATCAATACAGAGAGCAAGCATCGGCACTGATAGATAAATTGATGACTCCGCAGATTCCTACTATATCTCTACTCAGAGTATTCTCGGACAAGAGACAATTATTCTTGAAATATCAGCATTCACAACGGCAATGGTTCCACGAACACCGAAATTCGGTGTATACACACCATTAGTGACCTTCTTTATGGAGGACGAGTCTCTCGATATTGAAAGTACCTTGACACATGCGAGGCGCATTGCTGAAGGCGGTGTTGCTGGGCTAGTCCTTCAAGGAAGTAACGGAGAAGCGCCACATCTGGATCACGAAGAACGCAAATACTTGGTGCGCGCGGTGCGCGACCATCTCAACGAGTTGGGGTATGTGCAGATACAGTTGATTGTTGGATGCGGCGCGCCCAGTGTCCGAGAAACATTGGCGCATATTACTGAAGCAAAAGGATCTGGCGCCGACTTTGCACTGGTGTTGCCTCCGTCATATTGGGTCTCAGCTATGAGCACTGACGTAATTGAACGGTTCTTCGACGATGTATTTCCCCTAGTTTCCAGTCACTCCAGATTACCTATCCAGATTACCTTACCTGACTGGGTCACACAGGTAGCATCTAGCTCTCCACTTCCAGTTCTGATCTACAACTTCCCTGGAGTGACTGGTGGTATCGACATAGGTTCAGACTCAACCATCCGGCTCGCCCAATCCAACTCCAATATTGTTGGGTGCAAGCTCACTTGCGGAAATGTTGGAAAGCTTCAGCGTATATCATCCACACTTCCTACCACTTCCTTTGCCGCATTTGGAGGAAAGTCGGACTTTTTTCTGCCCGCCCTTGTAGCCGGGTCCAATGGAATCATCGCGGCTCTTGCCAACATCGCGCCAAAAGTGCATGTGGAATTGCTGAGAAGATATGAGAATGGTGATATCAAGGGTGCTCAAGAGCTTCAATCTTTGCTCAGTCATGCAGACGGTGCTCTTGTCAAAGTGGGCGTGACTGGTGTCAAAGCTATTGTGGCACATTGTTTCAAATATGGTTCAGGGCAGGGGCGAAAGCCCTTGGGAAATTCTACTGTCGCGACTCTGAGCCCGCATATTCTGGAGCCCATTCTGAAAGTGGTTGAGCGGGAAAGAATGTGTAATTAGACAATGTATTTGAATTAGAAGACGTTGAATCTGTGGTGGTATAGGAGCTCTAGGTATCACATCAATGATGAAGCCTGCATATCTCGGCCACAATCGCAATCTTTCAATCTCCGAAGAATGCCGTACGGACGGTGGAAAATAAAGCAGACAGCAGGGGACGTAGCCATTCTTCCGCTCGGCGTTATAAGCGGATGACAAAGACAATCGACAGGCAGGTTCAATGGCGCTAGTCGTGCTACTACGCACGACGCGGAGCAACTTCTCTCGGTTCGAATTTCTTGGAGAACAAACTCTTCAGGGAACAAGAAGAAGAAAGAGAGGAAGAGAGAAGAAAAATAAAGAAAGGCGGGACAGGGCAATCCGCGCTGGAATGGAAACAATCTACAGAGGAACCTCAGGGAAAGTCCCGTGCGCATTTCCTACGGGGGGTTCTCCATCAGAATCCAATCTTAAGTAAATTAATATCAAATTTTGACATGAACTACTAGCTAAGAGGATTGGCTTTGTTGCCGACTAGTCGCACTCCAGAATGACAGCCCCGCCTCTTGACGAGCAATGCCATAGATAGCCGAGCTATCTAAATTCTCGCCAGCATACTCGCGTGCAGTATTCAGCCTTTTGGAAGCCGTTTCAAGCGTGTGTAGGCGGACATTATGACTGTCGGCAATAGATAGAGCGTGCTTCATGTCCTTACATGCAAGAGCAGCCGCAAACCCCGGCGCTGTGTCCAAAGGAGGTGCATAAGCTCCACTCGTGATTCGTTTGCTGTAACTTTGCAATACGGACCCGAACATATTTCCAATAAAGTCCTCCATCTGCTGAGTGCCGATTCCTGCTACCTCGGCAAAGACCTGTGCTTCAGCAATGACCTCCATGAAGCTGATGACAAGGATGTTCCTGCATAGACGAAAAGAGTTAATACATGAAAAATAACCACATGAGGAAGGAGATGATTTATTTACCCTGAGATTTTGAGGAGACTCGATTTGCGCACGTCTTCTCCCATTTCAATAATGCTGCGTCCCATAACATTCATGATAAGAGGTCTGATTGTTTCCACTACTGTAACAGGACCAGAAACAGCGAATATGAGCTTTCCAGCGGCTGCGACTGGGCTTGCGCCAAACACTGGTGCTGCAATGAATGTCGCACCATGCTCTTTGAGACGTTTCGCTGCCCACTCAGATGTGTCTGGGTGAATAGTAGATGTGTCAACGAAGATTTTACCCTTTAGAGAGTTCCCCATGGTGGAAGCTTTCTCCAATAGATCGATCAACACATCATCGGTGGAGATCTCCAAGTTGTTAGTAGTTCTCTCAAACCGAATTTCTTTGAGGTGATTGAACAGTAGCGGCACCTACCATTGTGAAAATCACATTGGATTTCTGAACTAGTGCATCGAATTCTTCAGGCACAGCCCCTGCATCCCGAAGAATATCTCCCTTGGAGATTGTTCTGTTGCTGTATCGAAGCGGAGGCAGGTTCTTTGCTTGAAGGTACCTCTGGAGGTTCAATGACATGCCAAGGCCCATAGATCCAAGGCCGTACTGTCATTTCAGTGAGTCACGTGTACAAGTGGGATCTGGTGTTCAAAGTTCAAACCTACCCAGCCAACCTGTGGGATAGATGGGCTCATCCTTGTTTGCAGATAGCGAATATTCTTCCCGAAGAAAGTTTTGAGTATAGTGTACGGTACATGCACCAAGCTCATGTGGTTGTCTTAAATGAGCCCCGGCCGGAGGGCGCTGATAGCTAAAGTGGAGCACAAGAGGTCTTGGCCAAGTGGAGCTCCACATTTTCCACTTACTCTGAATCACAGGTAGCGGCATCGGGGATTTCTCTCAGTACAGCCAACATCGACGGCCCGATGCTCCACACAAGTCGCTGCTGGCAGAAAATTTTGACTAGATCTGCAAACAACAACTGCCCTTGCTCTAACAAAGTAGAAAAGACTTCACGGTCTCTAGACCACAAGCGTGGATCTCGAACATCTCGGTCACGTCTCGTCGCCGGAGAGTACAGCAAGGTGGCTTCAATGAGGGCGTTGAAGATCAGCATACATGGTTCGGATGTCCGTGGGAGTTCGTTGAATGTGTTCAAATGGTCATAAATCTCAGTGGTTGCACACCTGAGCGCTCCCCAGATACACAGAAGGACCCCGTAGCTGGTAACTGTGACCCAGGGCGCCTCATAAGAAAGATTTTGCGAATCGTCGCTAAATATGCTGGCGAGGGCTGCAGAAAGCTCACTGAGTAAAGCTAATACGCCTTCGTTGCTGCCAAGACGAGGGGCCAACAAAGGTGCAGATCGGCGAACCGCGACAAAGTTACCTCTCATAAGATGGGTCGAGGCAGCCAGGCCGGCAATCAAGCTATTATCAACGATGCCCCCGATCAGCAGCTGGTCAGGTCGACACAAATTAACCTGGAGGGATACAATAAATAGTGCGTTTGTTCTCCATTGAAAAAAGTCAGGGCTGTCACTCGCTGTAGCCGCGTCTTTCACGATCTTCCCAATATTACGTAGTGCCATGTGGACACTCTTGGTCTGACTTTGAGTCAGAATATGAAATGGGTTGGGATCAGGATAGCTGGGTGGCATTTGGTAGTAACACCGTGTGAAGTCCCGCACCAAGGCATCGAGATTTGCAAGTACGCAGAACACTGCGAACGGAGATGCTTCTAGGGCAGCAGCTAATTCGGTACCGGGAGCTTCAGTCATGACTTGCTGCGTTGCCATCGTCAAAGATGCCGCTGCTAATCCGCGAGGCCGTTGAAGCAGGTCGTTGGTGAATGTAAAAGCAGAGACACCGAAATATTCGCCGAACCTCTGAATCCATATTTCAGGGTCTTTGGCCTCCCAAAGTTTGGCGGGGAAAGGGAGCTCCCATCCAAGTTCCATTGAAGACATTAGTGGCCGAGAATTGCAAGGTACGAATACGTGTGAGTCCAGGAAAATCAACGTATAGAGCGCCACTCGCGTGGACTCGGCGGCTATATAGGAGGTCCATCGAGCATAGAGTGTTCGCGATTCGTCTCCGTGTGGATAACTGATGTCATACAGCCAGGACTGTGACTCTGGCATGGCAATCTCTTGTTGAGAGAGTCCGACCTCACGTACAGCCTAGAATTCAATCAGTTTGGCAGCACAGAAGAAAAGCAAGAAGATTCGGGACCAACATCAACAATCTGCCGTAGCATCTCTCGTGCTGTCCGGAACTGGCATGCCTCTCCTCCTGCGTAGACCCCATAGATCATGTAAAGTATCCAGGCTTGCATCACCCAGGGTTTCCGTATTTCCCCACATTGATTGGAGACCTATTTTGACATTTATTAGCATCCAAGTACCTAAAGCCCTGAGAGGATGATGTCCCACGTACCATATTTCGAAGTTCCTGTTGTCCACTTTGCCACGTGGTACGACGCCAGTGTACACAAGCTTGAGCTTCTTCATCATTGCATATGGTCGTCGAACATAGGCTACCTATCACAGCTACAGCTTTGAGCAATAGCTTTGGTGCCGATGATACTGTAAACGTGGGCCGATGTAACAAGGGTAGAGAAGGATGGAAGTGCTCAAAATATTCTTTGACATATCCTTCTAGGTCATAGTGGCTCCTATCAGTGAGTTTGTGATACTTAGAAAAGTCTTCTTGCGCGCATGAGATCAATCTTGTTAGGGAAAGGCATACATCGGGGACGGCAATATGTTATCTCGAGAAAGACTAGTAGCAAAGGAGCTATGTCCCTCCCAAAAGTGATCACCAGGCATAACATTCGCGGCCGGCACCTCGGTCGAAGTTAAGACATTGGTCGCAGTTAAAAGCGGTGGCATGTCATCAGTTCCCTGATAGCTCTGCTGCGGACTCGTTTCCGGTCGAGATATATGATCATTCGATGCTTCAACGCGGCAACGGCCCCGGTGCCTCTTGAACACGTCGCTGGGGCTTGGTCAGTGATACTGGAACAGAGGAGTTGGCGCAAGTGTGAGCAAGACCTTCTGGTAAAAACAGCGTGACAGCCATCACATTCAAATTCATGACTCGGGGCACGATCATGGCCTTAGTGTACAACAGTCAGTACCGTGAGATTTTGTTTGCTCGGTTTAAGGCCGAGGACTTACGAGCACGCTTATGTCTTCGCAAATTCTCCTGTAGACACGAATTCTCCGTTATAAGTTTTAGGCTGTTGGAAGAAAAAACTGATCTGTTACTTACATTTCTGGTGAAAGTTTTCGTACATTCGTCGCAAGGGTATGGGCGAGATGAATCGGGAATCAGGCTCTCTTCTGGGGGCTTTGCAGGGTCAGCAGCCATCGGGACTGTTTCAAACATCCAATTGCCAAAGAATGGATTTCTTCGTTGATATCATGTGTACTCAGCAGGATATGTCGGTTATTGATGTAAAGAAGATGGAGACTCAACTAAGGTAGACTCACGCAGGTGGTATGTAAGCCCTCTTCTGTACCACATGACCATTACCAGCTAACAGGACAGAGTGGGTCGTGAGATAGATAACTGGTTTAGATTGCTATGTTCTCGTCCGTCCCCGGGAGGCACAATTAGCGCGATTACGAGCGTATTGTAACAGCGCTTTCGTATTGGCCATGCTGCTGTAAGCGCTCTGTAATCAATTAATCCGAATCAGAACTATGGCATGCATTGAAACATTTCGCTTTCGCACATAGCGCTTTACCTCTACACTTTCTACAACCAGGGCTCGATTGTGGTACCCGTTGACCTCTTTTACCCATGTGTCTCTTATACGGGCACCATACACAAGCTTGCTGCCTATCCAGCCGACTCCGCTGGTGAATTTCTAGGCTCAATTTGCAGGGTTAGCTCGGACCTCGGCAGGAGTCACGACTCTCGCGGTTCGATTCGACTCAGAACCGCCAGGACTCAGGTTCCGATTCTAAGGTTTTGGAAACGCGATCCGAGTAATAACGGCTTTTGGAGTCGGACCTTTGAGGCTCAATTTGAATCTGAGATTCCTCAAACAGTGCAAACATAGAATTCCAAGAATTATGCATGTTTTAATAGTGTATCGGAGTGTGTTTCATAGGGAAACGTTAAGTATATTAGGTTCTAATATAAGGAAAGATAAAAAAATCTAGATAAAATCAGCATTTCTAATTAGTCAGACCGTGAAATCTTAACTTCAATTTAGTGTAAAAAGTGTATTGGTGTTTAGTGCAGAAATATAGTAGCAATCCTATGATGGAGATTATATATCTTCATCTCAAGATATCAGATCCCGACAACTGGCGATGACTATCTAGTACTACTACCAGTAAACTTTTCTGAAATCTCACCACTTAAACGAAATACCACTTGGTATATATTATGATATTGCCGTAAATACTTCTCTATAACGCATGACGGAACATATATTATGTATAATAGTAAGAGGTTATTCAACTTAAAAAGGGAAATCTTGGCAAAATTATACAACTCAGGGTCTTAACCTAGAGAGAAGGAAGAAGTGCCGGAACTGACGTGCCTGCCTTCATATCGCTCGGTCTCCTCTGACCAGTTCGCTTAAAATTACCCACTTTATCTAGACACTGTATCCCACTGATTTCCAGCGCCACAGAAAGGCTCTGAAGGTATCAGAGCACACGACGAAAACTTAAGTTGGCACGGAAGCCCCGTCCTACACCACGACGAAGGGGAGCCCCGACTGCTGAACTTGCCTACGATAGGAGGGATACCTGGGTAATAGTAGAGCGCCCAAATAAGCATAAGTACTTATAAAGCAAAATACTACCTTGGTTAATTAGCTTAACGAATATAAACGGCGAATAGGCCTACTTATTCGGGCTATCGTGAATAGGTCACTAAATACGCCTCCCCCTACGCCCGCTCCTACGCCTACCTAGGCGGCGCCGCCGATAATAACAACGTAAGGCTTAGCAAACTTATCTCCATTGCGATGAATTAGCACTGGCCATTGCAAAATTATATTGTTCTTGAATTTTCTTTGACTAGCAGTGTCCCAACAGCTAAATGGGGCATACGGCCTGAACTAATGAGCTGTATATCGGACTTGGGTACATTGAGCGCAATTTTCAGAAGTAGCCCTGGGAGCTTTCTTGAGTTTGGAGCTAATCTAGTCGATCAGCTTGCAATTGGCTTTGGTTAATAACGAAATACACTACCTCCTGCTTGGCATCTCATATAATAATGTTCACATACAAAGCCTTAGAAACCAGCATTTCCTTCTTTGGAATTCTAGTAGCTTGTATGGCGTTATCCTAGCTTAAAAGTTTAGCGTTGACGTCAATCATTTCGAAATCCAGTTTCATTCTGGACGAATCCGAGAAGCCTTGATTGAGCCCCGACACTAGTACATGTATTCACAGTCTTAAACTTGCTCCGCCAGAGTCCGATTCGCAGCCACGCTGCCATTAGCAACTGGTATGAATGCGGGCGTGACGACCGACTCGTCCCTTTTTCTGCTGACCCCATCTTCAAGGGCTCCATAGCCACCCCCACCGGGTGTCTCGATCACGAACCGATCGCCACGTTGAACTCGGATCGAATTTTTACCACCGACGTTGATACAGCGACCAGCCTTGGTGATCCACGTATTCTTCCCGCGCTGACCGTCTTCTCCACCTGCCATTCCATAAGGTGCAAAGCTCCGTCGTTCCGAAAGAATCGACACAGACATGGGGAGTCTCAGCTCCATATCCCTGATAACTCCATCGCCACCCGGGTATATACCCGCACCACCACTTCCGCTACGGAAGCCGAAACGACGCAGGATAACAGGGTATCTTCGTTCAAGAGATTCAGGGTCAGTTATCCGCGTGTTAGTCATGTTGGTGTGCACACCATCTGTTCCAGCCCAACTAGGGCCTCCGCCGCTCCCACCGGCTATAGTCTCATAATATCCAAATCCATTTTCGCCGTCGTTGCCGAAGGTTAGGTTATTCATGCATCCTTGGCTTGCGGCACATACTCTGAAGCTCTTGAAAATGACATCTACGATGCGTTGCGACGTCAACACATTGCCGGCGCAGACAGCGGCTTCAGAATCTGGACACAGGAGCGATCCGTTCGGAACAATTATTTGGACCGGCTTGATACACCCATGGTTGAGCGGAATATCAGAATTGACCATGCAGCGCAGTGCGAAAATTACCGCTGAATTGCAGATTGCAATCGGAGCATTCCAGTTCCCTGTTATCAACTTGGATTAGTTTCAACTTAAGCTGACAGTTATAGAGCATAATTACCGTATACCTCTGGGCCGGTGCCCGTGAAGTCGAAAATGGCAGACCCATCGGTAGGATTGATCGTCACTTTCAGTTTGATCGGGGTGCCATCATCCATATAGTCCACAGCAGATATGTCTTCTCCTCTGCGCTCATGTGCGAGACGCTTCAAAAGAGTGCGCACGGCCAGCTCAGCCGCCTCTTGAATTGCACGCATGTAAACCTATTTCTAATTAGCTACACATCTTCCAGCATGCAATGTGCTTGATAGATACCCGAACAGTGGGAAGAGAATACTCTTCGATGAGACGTTGCATGAGACGAGTACCACAGTGATTTGCGGCCACTTGGGCCTTGAGGTCAGTGACATTGTCTTGGTATCGTCGGGACCCGCTGCTGCCTGGGAAACGTGCTGGCTCCACACATAGAACGCGATGAAGCTCATCCTCATCGAAGTGACCAGCACGAACCAGCAGATGAGAGTTGAAGATAGCACCTTCTTCTGAGAGGAGCTTTGACGTTGGCGGCATCGAGCCGGGGAGTATCCCACCTACCTACCGGAAACAATGAGTGGGGGAGATACCAAAATTCATGATTGAAAGTCACTCACATCAGCATGATGGCCGCGCGAAGCTGCCCAGAATATAATATTCCTCCCGGCAGCGTCGAAGACCGGAGTAATAACCGTTAAGTCGGGGAGATGAACGCCCCCATAGGCTTACTGAAAGTTAGAGAGATTTTGACGTCGGCTTGTGACCAAGAAAAGCTGGAGCACGTACCTGGAGTATTTGAAAGTAACACATCCCCATCTTGCAGCTTTCCACGCCACTCAGCTATCTGCGATTTTACTGCAAAGGCCATACTCCCAATCATGGCCGGTACATGAGGGGCGTTGGCAACTAATTCCCCTTCTGGCGTGAAGATCGCACAAGTGAAATCCAGTCGCTCCTTGATGTTCGCGCTGGTACTGACATTCTGCAAAACGCGGCCCATTTGCTCAGCTACTCCCATGAACCGATGTCGGAAAATGGAAAGCTGAATGGGGTCAATTGTTTCTGAGCTAGTCGACTTGGGGGCTGGCGGATCTATGTCAAGGACCAAAAGATCTCGAGCGATGGTCGCTTTTGAATCTGGACTCACGACGACCGTCTGCGTTTTGTCAATAATCATAGCGGGCCCTTCAATCTCAGTTCCTTCAGAAAGAGTATTAAGGTGATAGACAGGCGTGTTGACCCAACCTAGCGAACTGAAACGTGTGGAAACCCTGGAGCTGGGCGTGGCTCCAGCTGTAGCAGACGTGGAACTTGAGAGAGACTTGACCTGGAGATATAAAGAGTCTTCTGGGGAAACGCTGCATCCAATTGCTCGGACACGAATGGTGTCCACATAAACGACACGGTTCACAGGAGTGAATCCGAATTGCTGATGATGCGCTTTGACGAATGCTTGTTTCGCGTCACTATCAGGACTCTCCCAGGGTATCATGATGGAGGTTTCGCTGCCATCATATCTCATGTTCAAGAATCGAAAAGCCCGGATGCTGCCGAATGATTCCATAGTCTTGCTGCATCGGGCATAGTCGACTAGTCTGTCCAGGGAATCATTGATAACATCAATGGCAGACCCTTCAAAGGCTTTCGCGCAGACTCGTTCCTCTTCATGTACAACTTCTGCTAGTCCGATCCCGTAGGCAGACAAGATAGAGGAATACTTGTGAATGAGCACGCGTTTGATACCAAGGTCGCTGGCAATGGCACAAGCATGCTGGCCACCCGCGCCCCCAAATGAGGCAAGATGATGTTTTGCAACATCATGGCCCTTCTCCAGGGTCAAACTCCGAATGGGTCCACACATTGCAGAGTTTGCGACCTGTAGGAAGCTTTTTTAATAATACTTATTAGCGAATGAAACAATGAGATACGATTGTGGGTATCACTTACCCATCTGCAACCTCTGCCCATGTAAGTGACATGCCAGTCTCCTTGTTTATAACCTGGGTCAGCTCCTTGAATTTAGTGAGAACGATGTCTCTGTCTAATGGCTCGTCTTCATTAACACCAAAGACAGATGGAAATTCTTCAGGGATCAAACGGC